ATAAAGATAAACACGTACTTGCAATTAGCTGCTTCTCCTTCGTTAGTGTACGAATAGCGTTATCTCGTTCTTCTTTCTCATGTTTCAGTCTTTCAATGTCGCAATCTAGATCCATCTGGAACACCAACAGGTGAAAATTCGTTCACAGGACAACAAAAGAGAAAAACCTTTGTTCTAGCCAAATCATTTCGAGAAGACTCCAACTGGCGGTATAGTCGAGATCTTTCATTCAGATCTTCTACTGAAATCGCAAACGATTGCAATCTAAGCAGCTTTTGTAAAGCTAAATTAATGTGGACGAAAACTAACTGCTGCTCGCAATTTGAGACTGTAATTCACTATTTCTAGCGGAAAGCTCCTTACACTTCTCTTTGACATCAAGCAGTTCTTCTTCAATATTTTGTTTGGCATGCCCTAAAGAAGAAACAAATAGGAGATCTCTGATTACTAATTGAATTAGGAGATTAGTAGTGAGGATGTAAATTTCTTACGTAAAGATATAACTTCGCTGAGAACATTCTGAATATCCGTTGGATCACCATCACCCTCAACTACTATCGTATCTGCGGATTGGCCGAGTTCAGCAACTTCGGGAAGTGCAAATACATTAGCTTAAACATTGTGAAAAAGTTGAAATGTAGAACATTCAATGAAAAAACAAAAAGGATTCGCAAAACAAAGCAGAATCTCACTTCCTTTACTGATCTCTGGTGGGATCACTTCCATAGAGTGAATTCCATAAACCGTGGCCGACACCGATGGTTTCACATCACCAGTCTGATTATCGACGTCAACAGGATTGTTCTCTGAGGCTGGAGTAGGATCCATCTTAAAAAAAACCTTGAAGAATGCGGAAACATATAGAACGCAAGATTAGCGAGATACAAAAACCAGAAGAATCATAGTTTGCCTGAAACTGTAAACCACCATCATATATGTTACATTGAAATTTCTGAAAAAAAAGTTTTATTAAATAATGAACATTAAAGCAACATAAAGATCATTTTAAAAAAG